CTGACCTGAACTCGGGGAAAGGAGCAGCCAAGATAAAGTGATTTTACTGTCTTTTAAACTTGGAGACAGCAGGGAGCTAGCTCATTGCTCAGTTTTGCACCTAATTGCTGTTTTTTCTTAAATATGGTTGATTATTGATCCAAGGGGTTTTCTGGCAGACACAGTCAGGGAGGTAGAGTGGTCCCTGCCACCAGGGGATCAGGTAACTGGCCTTCTGACTGCTTTGCGCTGCCAGAAAAACCCAGAGATGCCTTTTTTTGAAAGAATCTGACTCTGGGGATGCGAGCCACGTGAAAATTTTAATATGACAAGGAGAAAATATGAGTTTAATGTACTGAAGCCCAAAGCTTCTGTAAGCTAGTGGATTGCTGGATCAGTTGCTAAACAAAAATCTTCATTTCATTTCACTGGTGTTAGTCTACTCTTCTTTTTTATCTGGGTATTCAAGCTTCCTAGGAAGTGCCTGCTTTGTGCTAACAGGTCTATATTCTTTGTCAGGCTTCGAAGGAGACCTAGCCCTTTCCTATCTGCTGATCAGAAATCCAATAAAAAATCCCTGCATGTTATTCCCAAGATAACATTCCCAGGATAACATTCCCAAGATTATAGTTCCTATAATATCAAATTAATTTCCCTAGCTTTAAAATGCATAAGCTATCTCCTTATTGACTAAGGCACACTTTGTCACAATTTGGGGTCTGATCACCCCTATATTGTCACTAAGGCAATAAAGGTGACATTATTAAAGTGCTGGTACAGTTCTGGAAATGACTTGGTGTTTCCCTATATAATTAGGATGTCAACAGTTACAGCTAGCAGAGTGGATAAGCCAAGACCCATATTTCAGGGGACCTACCCTCTGCAAGCGGAGTGGTTAGAAAAAGAGATAACCTCTGCAGGTAAGTTAATTCATAACCTATTCCACTGAAGCATCTGAACCCGGCACCGATTAGAGGTAAGGTACTAATGTAGAGAGACCAGCGGTCTGCTCAGGTACGGCTGTCCTGTTCCACAGGGATTCATCCTCACTTAGCACCTGGCAGATGGAAGCCTGCAAGACTCATGCTGTATCTAAGACCACGAGGCCCAATCTGAGTCCCATCGCCAGTGGAAAGACTCCCACTGACAAGAAGGAGACTTGGCCCAGCCTTAAAAAAAATCACATCTGGTCCTCAGGATACCCCTGCTTGAGGGTCATTCGTTAAAGCTGCACTGCAGAGTGGCTTCTTCACATCTCTCCACTAATTGCACGCTGTGCAAGATCGCCTTTTGCTTGTGATAGTTTAGGCTCAAGAATGCACCTTCTTTACAATGTAAGGAAAGAATTAAAGCACATTTAGCGATTCAGGCCTAAAAGGAAAGTGAGACTTACAGGTACCTGACTTGATAGACTCAGGTTTGCAGCAGCTGACTTTTTCTTGCTGTTGGTACTATTTGCATTGTTCCCAGCACTGCTGTTGGAAGTGCTGCTGGTAGAGTTTTTCCTTTTTCTCCGTTTGGTTGTTGGTTGTCTTGTGGGTTCTGCTGCAATAAAAAGGTACGAAGGAAAGCAAATGGCAGATATTGTAAAGCGTGCACTAAAATAATGCACAAGTAGAAGTGCTGACATATTTTTTCATCTAGTTTTAAATTCCTATGTTTACTAGTAGTAGTACTAGTAGTAGCAGTATTAGATTAGACAAACCGTAGAATAATATTTGGACCCAAACCAATGGAATCTGCTTTCAATTTTGTATAATGGACTATTGAATCTTATTCTCCCAGCATTATCTATAAAGATATTTGAAAGCATTTTACAATGGAAGTATCATAATTATCACGATGCTCAAATTGACCATGTAACATGCTGAAGACCACACAGTAAGCAACAGCGCTAAACAAAAATCCAGGTCCTATTTGGATGTAGGCTACAGCCTCAACTGACCCAGCCAGAGGCAAAGGCCAAAGGTAGCTTTCTACCCTCCTGCTGCCACCGATACAGCATATGAGCAACTGCCCTTTTGGTTCCTTCTACCTCTGATGTGCACTTCAATCTCTAAACTGCCACTACCACGGGAACATGTTAGAGCGTGCTGAATGCCATTTCCCTGCAAGTCTTCCAAACTGAGATCGAATCAGGACAATTACATAACTTTTCTTAAACTGGAAAAGAACAGAGGGGCAATTGTACTTTTCAAGATTTGGCCTGGGCACCAATGTGAATAGTCTTAAATATACAAATCTTTAATAATCTGAAAAAAGTAAGAATTATTTTGAGGTGTAAGAGGAAGGAGATTACAGGTCCAGGCCTGTAAATAACATTATATTAGTCTCAAAGACAATTAATTATGAATTGTAGCTGTAATTTCAGAGTCACAGCAGGAAGCTGAATTACACAAACGATGAATTCTAATGGAGCCAGTAGGCATTTTGCATTCCATCTACACATATTTTTGTACTAAATTATATCCTAGTCATAGTGAAACCATCTGAATGTGCACATCTATAAATCAGTTGGGTCAGACTGAAATCATAAAACATCGGAATCATTTTCAGGCTTACTTTTGGAACAGTGCTAATTCTTAGTACTTTCCTTTGTAAGTAAATTTGCAGTAAATTTTCCCATTGTTTCTACATTAATTTAACTATAAAATAAGTAAAACACTGGAAATGAAACATACCTGGTGGGGCCACCATTCTCTGCCATTTTTGAAACAAGCAAGTCTTCAAGCAGTCTCGAGGACTTAGATTGTAGGTTTTATGTCTTGACATCAGTTCCTGCATTGGCTCCAGTATTACACACAACTGGAAGAAAAATTCAGAACAGAATGATTTCATCCAAGCAAAGACGCAGTTCATCAGTGTTTACATAGCTGGAAAGTATATTCTTGGCTTTTTTTTTACCCTGGCTAACAGAGTATGCCTTGTACAGCTCAGTTTAATCTGCACTGGGATTGCAGGATCAAAACTCTGAATTGAGAAAAATTTTGCTCACTATTTGCTATCTATCATCTTAAGTATTTTAAAAAAAATCTGAGAAACTTCAACTCTGGTCTTCCAGACTACAGACATTTCAGAAGAGTATAAGATTTTCATGCTTGATTGCCAAAACTGCAAAGATGAATTAATAAATAATAAAATGCCCATAGTGGGTTATCATTCCCGTATAGCAAAATGTACACACAGTGATCTTCTGACCTGCTGCACTCCACAATGAAGACTTCTCATAAATGAGGGTTGTAAACATGATATTTTATCTTGCTATTGCATGCAAAATAATTCAAATAACTTTTTGTTCTTTTCTTGTTATGACTACACATTCTCTTCCCATCACATGAATGACATGTCCGAGAAAAAAAGGGAAGCATTTTATTTTCCTCGTTAGCTTGAATACTTGATTATGTTGAATTTCAAGCAAACCTCTTCTTTAAATAGAGTCTTATATATTTTCTATCTGTTCACTTAGTAATTAAAATCACTGTTCACTGCTCTTTGCTCCTGTTAGCACAGCAGATCTAGCATAAAGAACACAGTGAGCTCGTTTCTATTCCCTCCTGTTTATCACCACAGAATCATTTCCAGTCAGTTAAATCTTACGCAAAGCCACAGAAGACTGCAGAACTGCACACATGTAATTGAGGGCTTACTCTCGCTTGCAGGATCCCTGGTTTTTTGGTCATCCTACATGAGAAGAAAAATCCAGGTTGACCTCTAGGTTCCACCTGAACTTTGCAGGGCTGGCGCACAGAAGGAAAAGGTTCCTTACTGAGAACATTTGATAAGGAAATAGCTTACACAAAATAAACATGGAGCCTGCATGACATTTTTTGTCGCTTTTCAAAGCAGAACTGCATTTAGAAGCAGGGGATGGTTTAGCTTTTTTTAACCAACAGAAGTAAGGCAACAAGTTGGTTAAATTATTAGAAGTTAAAATGGCATTGGAAGGTATAACTTAAGCTGAGTCTTGTTTTGAGTTATTTACTTAATTTTAGGAAGTCTTGCTGAACGAGCATTTTGGATTTACTTCAGCTTATGATGTTTTCCTTCCATGTTTTTAGAAATATATGAGACATGAGGCAAATTCTTCTCTCTGGGCTGCAGAGCCGATCAATATTTGCTCCATTCTCCCCATGTGCACCCCACTCTCATTCATATAAATGGAGATTCCAAATATGCAGGGAAAATAGCTGAAAGGGAGCTGCCATGAGCACTAAGAGATTAATTCAGCATTTAAATATTATTGTGTATTGCCACTGCTTTTTGATGAGCCTTTCATTAACAGCAGTTAAAACAGAGATAACATAAAGCAGCAGGGAGAATGAAGAGCTTCAGTATGAGGAATTATTTTTTTCCAACTGCAGAAATTGAATCTGCAGTTGCCTCATTGACTATTTTCTTACATAGACTTTTTACATATATTTTTGTAGATAAATATCGGCAAGGTAATTTAATAGACAGAGAGCTGCTATCAGATCGTGCACTTTGGGCTCAGATTTTCCTCTGGTTCAATATTCTACCAAAAATTAAGAGCATCAGGTCCTAAAGTATGTGCAGGATCCAGTTTATGCTGTGGAAGAGGTGTTGTATTTTGAGTTCTTATTCAATTTATTCTGAAACCTGCAGGCACTTGCTCAGGTTTTGTGTGTGTGTGAGAGAGAGAGAGATTCGTGATCAAAATTGACATCATTGCTTTGGTTCTCAAAAGTCTGGGCTTCTGTCAAGGGCTCTGCCTGAATTGTCTCATTATGAGCAGATATTAACTAGCATGAAAAAGATAGCTGTGATAAGTCTCAACAAACTAGTTAGCCTGGGCAGAGCACTACACTCACATAGCCCTACTCCTGCTGGCACTAAAAGTATGCAAATATACATGTAGGGTCTTCGAAGATTTCCTTAGGGACACTTTATTCATGACACATTTATTCTTCCATATCTATTTATCCTTGGCAACAAAGAGAATGTTTCTTCTTTATCATCTGGCAAAGATGTTTCCTATTGTGCACTAACCATAATGCACACTGAGGAGAACTATGCAGTCCCTGCTGTCTGTAGATATCTTGACTGCTAATCCTGTCTATAATCTCCTTCATTTCACATGCAAGATTAAAATGGGATATGGACCCAAAATGTAGCAATTCCTGACTGATCTCACACGCATGGACTCAAATGACAAGCGCCAGGACCCCTCCACTAGGATGTGGGACAGTCTCATCTCCTGGATATTTAGGAGCTGTATGGACTTGCATGAATTCCTCTTCTGGTTCTGGGGAATTCTCAAGCATTTTTTCCCTCTAAAGTCTTTTGTAAGGTCAGCTTTGGATGCCTGAGTAATAGGAAAGCATTGCACTCTGTAGTGACAAGTCCATTTTAAATGCGTCTAGCTCACGTGAATTGGGCACAAATGTAAAATGAACTGGATTAACGATGATTGATATTAAATCTCACAGTCTTTTTCAGTGACCTTTGAGACCTACTTGAAATCTAAAGTCACTCAAAACCAAATCCTTGAAAGAGGAAAAGACTGTGGTCCAATTATCTTAAGTCTGAGGAACCTGCCACTGACAATCAGTAGCTTGGTGTTGGCAAAAAGCTAGATTAAAAACGTGGGGACAAGATGTCTTTAAGAGCTAGGTTGGCCAAAACCACCTGCTGGCTTTAACTGCTAGTGAGCAGGGTAACTGGCAGGCTGGCTTGACTGCATCATTTTACGAAGTGACTTCTTAAAACATAGCTAACGAAATGATTTACATACACCTACATTCACTGGCATACAGAAGAAGCCTGAGGCTTAGGCTGCCTATTCCCCACAGATCACCTAATCTCACTCTGTGAGATTCTTTTTCAAAACATCTAGTTTAACATTTTTTCAAGCATTGGTTAATATTAAAATGTACATGTCTTCACTGTAGTACTATAATAATAATATTTGGAACACCAACAAAACCGATCTCTTCTACAAGCATTTTCTGCACAGCTCACAATCAGTCACCCAGGAAAATACCTTAAAGACTTAAAGACTTTAGTGCAGTGACAATGTATGATCACAGAAATAATTTCTACATTTCCAGGCACCCAGAACCTTTAATGGCAATGCTTGACAAGACACAGTTAGACATTTCCAAGCTACACATTTAGGCAACACAAAAGGTGGGACTCCTTTGCTCGCACATAGGTGTCCAGCACCAGCTGAAACACCCTAGGTTATGCTGGATCCGATACATCTGATATTTCTTGCTGTCCCAGAAGGATACAAGGCTCTGCGTGGATGTTTCAGGCACTAGAAGGTGTCTTAAGTGTGTGGGCAACTGAATGAAGCCCAAAGTTAGAAGAAAAAATATGTGTCTATCATAATAAATTATATAGTTTCCCTCTGCAGTACTAAAATCTACTGAAAGAACTCCACATGATGTTTAGTAACCCAATATTATTAGAATTAGTTTCCAGTCATGTTTTCTTATTTGAACTCATCACGATATCTGACCATTACTGGGGAACCATTGCTGTTTCACAGTGTCATAGCCGTGAGTTGGATCCACTGCTCGAGACGAACACAGCGCTTTACAGCGAGGGAAGTCATTGGCATGAAAAGTTCATATTTCCGGATGCCCAGCACACACTGGGACACATACATGCATTTTGGTGCTGTATAGAGTGTCAGTGATTTTGTTAGAGTTCCATATGGATCCTATGGACAATTCATCAATTACAGGGCTTGGATCCAACTTGAGAAAATGGTAATGTTATACCCTTGGGGCTCAGGGAAGTGAAAGTAGGGAACATAATAAAGCACATGTTTTTTTTGCGTTAGTAAAACACATCTGGAAGGATTTGATTTATTTTATTTTTTTAATGACTTTTTTAGAGGAGAAGACTAGCATTTATAGATTTCAGAAAACAGTGTGTTTTAAGAAGGGAGTTATATGAGGAGATACTGGAGGCACTGCAGAAAGGAGTTAGAGGGTTCTGAGAATATGGATCCACACGTAATTTCCTGTAATACTTCAGTTATCAGCAGAGCCAAAATCAGCCTTCATAGGTAAGGGGTCAGATTCAGCTCTGAGATCACTCCAGTCACACCAAGAATTGTTTCAGCCTTATGATTTTTGTTCTAACACAGGGGTTCTGTTCTGGGAATAGAAGTGCATTCTGCTAGCAGTGAAGATTATCAGAAAGACCAATGTGAAAGCTCTCTTTTACTTTACTTTTGCATACCACAAGCTTATGTATTCTATTGCTAATTATCAATTACCCTCTTCAGTGAAACCTCTTGCCTCCATGAGAATTTTTACATTTCCAGTACCGAAGGTTTGTCGGTGGAGACGGTGCGGTCCTGCCGGCTGAGCTGCAGGTGGCAGAGCTGGCCCAGCTAAGAGTCTTCCCCTGCTTACATGCTAGGAGCACAAAAGGACTGCAGCCTTTCAGGCTTCCAATGCCTTTTGCATTTTAAAGAGAATTCGGTGGGACTCGAGTCTTGCAATACTTAGGTGGTGAGACTGACATAACCACCAGCCAGTTTCTTTAAAGCAGGAAATATATCTGGTCATTAAGTGCTGGGCAGCTGACGAGTCCCAAAGTCTACTAAAAGAAGCAAGTTTTGAGAACTGTATCTTCCCATGTTTACGAGTTTTGTCTGTATAAGCAAAAGTTTCACTAACCACATTTAAAAAAATGGAATTATCTAATATTTTCATGTAGATGACACTTAAAAATGTTAATGTATAATGTAAGATCAGTTTTTCTGAATGAAACCAGCAAGGAACCTAACAGCGATGAGAGAGTTCCCTGAAGTTTTACTGAAATTTATT